CATTCTCTTTAATATATTATTTACTGCCTCCGTTCCTGACCCACGTCTTTTCATCAGAAGAGAGCAGGAGCCCCATTCACTTTTAAAAGCACCGGTTCATGCACAGGAAGCTCGCACACCTCTGCACAGCATAATACAGATGTGAAAGAAAGGTACCAGACGGAGCATAAACTATACATGAACACAGGCTCAACAGCCAGTTTGCGCATCGCCGCAGGAAAAGCACAAGAGTTTCTCTAAAGCCACAGCTAACACCAGAATTATTCTCTTAGGCATAAGTCTTAGCAAATATAAGTTCCAGTCATGTCCAGACTACTATTAGATGAATCAAATACGTCAATATGATTGTAAATGAATGAATAGTTGATTGAAGTTTCAAGAAATTTGAATATTACGTTTGAATGAGCAAACTCGTAATGTTGGGAGTAAAAGGCTGACCTATCGTTTGGTGGGCTCTGGTCATGTTACACAGGGCTGAACATGTAAAGGTCAAGTAGTTAGTGGACATCACTATAAAGCTTCTATAGAGGAAACTTTGAGTCCATGTCATCGAGGTGCAAATGTCTTTCAAATGGACTTTGTCCTTCTTGCTGTCTGACCACGACTGCTCATTGACCCTGACCGGCTAAAACCAGAGCGGAAATTACACAAATGCTCAACTTTCAGACAAAAGAGACGGTGGATCCTTGGCTTTATTGAGATAATAAAGGAAATTAAGCAAGAACCGAGCATCTGACTTCCAAATCTCTCCATGCAGCATTATATGTAAAACCCTACCCCACCTTGAAAGAATTATTATCCATTTACAAATGGTATTGGATGGACTAATCTAAATGACTTTCCTTTCTCCTGAGAAAAGCGCCAAAATTTGGTTTCTTTGGTGTTGTCACTATGTTTTTCCACCCCTTAGTACAATGTCTCTTTATTTTCTAAGATTAAAAATTGAGGACTTTTTCGGTCATGGGCCTTAATTAATATAAATGATATTTAATAAAACTGTGTTTTTACATTTTCTAAAGAAAATATGAGAGGTGCTTGCCCATCCAAAACCCACCGCTACAATGTTAGGATGTTTTGGGTGGGTGTCGAGGTGTTTACATTGCTACGCAGTTGTTGTTGGTTTCTGAGGTATCGCTACCTGTTATAGGCAAAAATCAAAGACTGATGACTTAGAAAATAATATATTATATTATATTATTAATATATATTCATATATCAGTGTTAATTTTGACAGCAAATTTTGATTTAGTTTTAGTCATAGCCGTTTGACCAAAATTCCATTTAGTGTTAGACATATTTTAGTCATCTGAATTGTTTTTAGTTTTAGTCTAGTTTTAGTCGACTAAATACCATATGATTTTAGTTGACTAAATCTGCAGTAAATTTAGTCCGCTAAAATCGAATGGGTTTATTTACAGTGCATTTATTAAGCATTTCTCTAAAATTTCCAAACTCATTATATAGGTTTGATATTAAGGTTATATCATGATAGACACAGATTTAACGGCGATGACACACAACATGCCTTTATGTTAAAATTAAATAAAACCACTTCTCATAAAGAAAAAGAACATGGTCTTCATATTAATGAAATACCAATGGTTATATAAGCTAAGTATGCATTCTTTATAGCAACTTGTTTACCATATTCTTCATTCTTTCAAGCAGACATATTTATTTCTATAAATAAATTTAGATTAATCTTTAGGGCTACTAAAGTTTTTCAGTCAAGAGCAGTGCGTGATTTTCTGTCTTTTTTTGTTGCTTGATTAACGTCAATTTTTAACATGATAACATCAATTATTGACTCGGACAATAGCAACTAAATTAGGCTGCTATCCCTTTGAAACCGAATGCACAGCTGCAATGGATGCAATGTACTGATACACGTTCCCTACTGTTTACATTCACTTAAGACGTAATCAACTGTGTTTACGTGAATACTCGTCAAAACGGAAAATTCGACATAATTTTGTGTGTAATTCGCCGTTCATGCGACTCGAGAGTACTCGCGCGCTGTGAGACGCGCTTTCTGTGTGTATTCTTCAGTGTCTGCGCTCAGAAAACCAGACCGAATTGAGTTCTCTCTTGCGTCGTCAGATTTATCCATATGTCTGCTCTTCTCTTACTGCCACATATTGACATTTTTGAATGTTTTATGCGACGTGCAGCAAGTATATTTTAGCTTATGTTCCACATCTAACCTCTGAACCACTCAGCAGATTCGTTCTGAATGAATCTCTTCCCAAATCATCCCTCCCTAACATTTTTGTCTCGTTTTTATTCGTTGACAAAAATGTCAATAGATTTACGTCATAGTTTTTGTCATTCAAAAATAGTTTTAGTTTGTTATCGTCTCGTTGTCGTCAGTGAAAAAACTGTCGTTGACGAAAATTATGACGAAAATTAAAGACAACTAAATTAACACTGATATATATACAGTATATATATATATATATATTAATATATATAATATATATATATATATATATATCACCCAAAGCTAATGTGTGGCTTAATAAGGCTTGGGAAACTGCTACTTTTAGGTTTTGTCATTCATTTATGGTTTATTTATTTTTTATTATGTTTTAGAGTTCAACCCAGGTTATATATATATATATTAATAGATTGACAATTTTAATGAAAGACAGCAGTTAATTTAAGATTTAGTTAAGATGTAGATTAATTTGGCATTTACAATCCTCTTTAATTATCTACTAGCGTTAAGTACAAAATTCAGTTTCTTTGTCACTGTGGATTTCTGCACCTTTTGTATTTTATATGAAAAAGGGGTCACACTTTTGGGGACCAATAGTTTGGAGACCAATTCTCACTATTTATTAAAGGGGTCATATGATGCTTTTTTAAATATCATTATTTTG